AGAAATTCCAAAAAAAAAAAAAAAAGAAAGAAAGAAAGGGTAACTAACTTTCACCTTGTACATTCAAATATTTAAGATTGAAAACTTTGCACTAAAAAGCTTTTCTAACTTATCTGTCTACTTTATCATGAATTAACATCTCTTTCCAAAGAAAACTACTTTTAATATTTTGAGATTTGCTAGGGAATTAGTTTCCTGCCCACTGTGGATAAGGCTCTTCATTTCTAAAAACAATAGAATAGAATCAGTTTTGAAAAATAAAATCAAAACCTTCCACTGCCTTTCTTGTGCCTGTTCCATCTTCCCACTCTCGTCTTGTTTGAAATCACACACACATTTTTTCCAACTCTGCTCTTTCCCCCCCTTTTTTTTTTTCAGTAACGTTCTAAAGTGAAACTACATCCTACCTCTTTTGTTTTACTTTGACATGAACCAGAGCTTTCTATCAGTGGACATTTCCACATGGCTACAACACAATAATAACTTAAAGGACTCTAAGAAGCTTCTAAGGTCAATTTTCTTCAGTTGCCAATGCTATATGCATTTTATTATATTTTTATTGACATAAACTGATGAAGAGTGAAAGGTAAAACTTTTTTTTTTAACTTAGGATATCGAATTGATCATAGCACCAAATTCCTGAAGTTTCCCAGAGAATTAGCAGTGGATGGTACCAGTGAAAGCATCTTTAACTGTGAGTCACAGGCTGGCATCCACAACACTGGTGTCCAGAAGCTTATGATACTGTCAACTAATGGAGACTGAAAAAGATGTGATTTTAATTTACTAGAATCGATCAAAGACACACAGCAGATGAACGTAAACTATTCAGTTTTTAGATTCCCCATGTCAATAAACTTTGGGGAGTGTGGGAAACTGAGGCAGAGCATTAGCAAGCATGACGTAGGGGCATCTTGGTGAACAGACACAAGTATGGAAGCTCTTCGGTGGGGCTCTACTGCCATCAGCTAAGGCCAGCCCAGGTCATTTAAACATTCAATTTCCTTTATTTGCAGGCTCTTGGGAGAAACGATGCATCTTCATCTTTTTCCTCATGAAGGCTTACTGACAAGGATAGGACATTCTGGTAATACCAACAGCAGTGCCCTAAATCCTACCGTAGTTATAGTTCTCATCGTCAATGATGACAGAGTTTAATGGCTGTAGTTTTGCTCCCCAGGTAACTTGACTACAGGAAGAAAACACACTGAGCATGGCAGGATTCTAATACAAGGAGTCGTGCATGGCAGCCAAGTCAAGGAAATGCCCATCGACAGACAGCTGGAGAAAGCAACTGGAATAGGTATGCCATCAAATACTCATCAGATACTAAGAAGATGAAACAGTGCCTCTGGGGACAAAATAGTGGATTTGAGGCGATGATGCTAAGCAGAGTAAATCAGAAAATGAAAGACAGTTACTGGATGGCTTCACTCATTTGTGGAATATAAATCACCAAAGCAAACAAGCTGTCATGACACCGCAAAAAGTAATTTTTAGACTCTGTGAAAAATATAATGATTATGAGGGGGGAAGGGTGAAAGGTGGTGAGTATTGACCCTGGGTGAGAGGAACATGTCTAGAGGAAGGCTGAAAAGTAATCACATAATTGCATAATTACATAGCTGTGCAAGTAACCAGCAAGTCAATGAGATGAAGGAAAATACTTAAAAATAACACAGCAAGACAAATATTCTGATTCAGGGGACATTTTCCATGAGAGACCGAATCAGGCACCAGGCTTTAGCTGCCATTCTTAAGTTTAACAGGGGTCTGACTAGATACTCAGGTCAATTGTTACTGATATACTATACCAAGGACTCTGAGACTGAAGGCCCAGACACTGGCCATGAACTACACACCTTCACCAGGTGGGCAAATTCACTAGCTTCCCTGCACAGACCAAGTATAAATTGCACGCTTAGTTTAGGAATTTCTGTCCTGAAAGCTCATTAGGTCTTTTCAAAAGGTAGTGTGGACCAATACCAGCTGTGTGGCTGTGTGTGTGTTCTTCACACAGAACCCTTTTTTATTTTAAAGACTTATTTATTTATGCATACATAAGTTGGGGAGAGGGCTGAAGGGATTCACCGGAGACAGAGTGGGGAGCAGAACAGACAGATCTTCTGAAATGCACTGCTAAGGGGAGCAGCAGGTGAGACAGGAGAGGTCTGCTGTGCCATGTGGGTCAGCTCCCTGGCCAGGGATAGAAATTGTGCTCCAGTGGCTAGTGATAGCTTAATAGTACTGTGTCTTTAACGCCTGCGCCACCATGAAGGACCCTCACACAGGAATCTTAAAGCCATTCCAAATAAAGATGCTCAGAGAATCTTTTGTTTGAATGCTGTCTCTGACCTTACTGTCTGCCACAGAGCTCCAAGATGGGGCCCCTGTAATTTTCTGACAGGGGAGTGTGTGAGACCAAGTTCCTAAACTTCCTGACTGATAAGAGCATCATTTGCTTAAGTGAGGTGACCTTTTGGTGGGTGCCTAGTAAGGGTGCTGGTTGACAAAGACCAAACTATGATTGGAAATGAAGAATTTTCAACTTCATCGTGAGAAAACGGAGAGGGATTGGAAATGGAGTTCAGAATCAATTTTGTCTACATGATGAAGCCCCATAGAAACCCCTATAGTACAGGGTTCCAAAGCTTCTAAGAAATGAACATTAGCTATAACGGGGGGGTGGCACCCAGTGCCACAGGGACAGAAACACACAGAACATTTCCGGACCTTGCCCTGTGGACTTCTTTGTCTGGCTGTTCATCTGTATCCTTCACCGAGTCCTTTATTATATAATAATAAGCCTAAGTGTTTCCCTGAGTGCTATGAGCCATTCTCACAAATTCTCCTATCTACAGCGGGGCTATGGAAACCCTAACTATAGCCAGTCAGAGGTGTAAGGAACAACCCGGGATTGGTGACAGATGTTTGAAATGGAATCCTTAGCTGGTGGAATTTGATGTCACCTCTATCTAAAATCAAAACTGAACTGAATGAACTGGTTGGGGGGGGGGGTTTGGAGGGGGGCACCCATTTGTGACCAGAAATCTCAGATGTGGTATCTGTGCAAGTAAAGGAAAATTCAAGAGTATTCTTCTAAGACAGATGGTCTCTCATGTCTTTTAATAATTTTAGTTAACTTTCTGAGCTGAGGTTCTTTTAATTATCTCAAAAAAATTTTTTAATTCCCCAGTACATTTAGCAAGTCAGTTAACTTGATTTTTTTTTTAGAATGAAGAACAAAAAAAATGTTTGCTTTTTTTGTGGTAACAACAAAGAAATAAAATTTCTATGTGTTTAATGAACTCCAGAAATTAGCTCATAGGTACTTTCTCAACAGAACTCTGCAGGAGAGAAACTGAGAGAAGATGAAGGGATTCAGGGAAACCTTGAGAACTTCAGCAGGGAGGGAGGGAGGAGACACCTCGACACCACAGAACAGACGGGAGCCACACACATGACTAGAATGAATCCAAAATGAGTTTCCATGCTGAAGTGGGGGGCGGCTTGGTAATTTTAGCAAGCACAGTCACTTTAGCAAAACAAGGTAACCTCTGACACTTAACAGAAAATGATAGCATATTTTAACCACAATCCCAATTTCCCAAGAATATTCAAAAGGGGAGACTAATGTTGGCCACCTGACTTCTGCAACTGCTTTATGCAGTGCTTGAAAGCACATGTGCAAAAGATTAGAGTATCTGCCCCCACTCTCCTTCCTGAGTGGAGGAGAGTCATTGCAAGGGATTCAAATTAAAAAAATGAAAACCTACATTGGAAATGTTGGGCCCCCAAACACAGCCACTTACTACACTTTTTCTCACTAAATTAGGTGACCACGAGTGCATTCCAACCACATCTCCACTTAGGAACAAACCCACACCAATAATTACAGTAGCTGCAGTGTTTCTTTAGAGCAAGGCCTGCAAGTCAAATCACTGCAAAGACCCTTACTGCAGCCCTACTAAGTTAACAAGCCAGCCACCAGGTACAAGTGCTTTATACCACCTCTCCCCCCAGCAAGCTCCTTAAACCCATGTCTCACCACCATGGACACCACAACTGCTCGAGAAGTGCCTTCATTTGGCAAAACACACTGGCATTCGGCTCTCAGACTGACCGGCTTCAGTGACAAGGCACAGCCATAACAACAACACTAACTCATCATTAAAGCCATCCTTGGTAATCACTTTATCTTTCTCCAATTCAAAAAGGATTCTAGATTAAAACTGGCACACCTCTGCTTTTTCCAGTCTTGCAAGCAAACATGAAACAACTGTCCTTTAACCAGTTTCATTTCTCTTTCTCTGGTTTGCCAAAAGTGCCACAGGGAAGAAATCAAAACAACGAAGCATTTGCTTGAGTTTTTGCCAAGAAAACTTTCCCCCACTTCCTTGATCACACAAATTCGCTCTTTAAAAAAAAAAAATCCTCCTCCATATGAAAACAAATGTGCATACAACGGTCTTTTTGCCTTTTCCAAAAGCCTATTTTATTGATAGTCTAATTAGGCCTATACCTCGCTTCTCTACTATGAAGCTTTCCACTGGCTGCAGCAAAGACCTCACAAGAAGATAACATTAAAGTGATGTTGGGGCAGCAATCACATAGGACCCAAAGGAATTGTTCTAAGTTTTTCAACAGATTAAACTATGGAATGCTTCCAAGGTGGGGAAAATCAAGGAAATGAAAATACAATTACAGCTACTGTCCCGTGCACCTGTAAAAACCAGTACTGGTTTCAGCCAGTGGATCTGAGCTTTGAATTAAAAAAATAACATCCCCATTATCTGGGAAGTTACTTAACACATTTCAATCTTCACGTCCTTAGTCTTAAATACCTAACACCACCGCATTTCAGAAGACTGTGTGTTATACAGTGAGATAGAGAAAACAAGAGAGCTTCAAAGACGAAAACTCACCAAAAACCAAAATCAGAAATTAAAATGTTTGCAATATTCATTTAATATTCTATCAGATATAATTTACTCTCTATCACTAACTGTGTGGGCTTCTGAATTATCTGACAGTGTTCCTTCTGCCTGTAATTTCTACCTAAGTATCTTTCAATGGGAAGTCATTTTCAAACTCCTGATGTCTCCAGTCAGCTCATCTCCCCGGCCCTCTGTAAGCTAAGTATTTCTGTTTCAATCACATTTTGTTCATGCTGTTAGATATTTTGTGGTATAGCAAGAGGTATGTAGCCCCAAGACTTGCTACATAATTAGCCCTCAAAGCCAAAATCTTCTTGATTCTACATACCCAGTGTCTGTCACTGACTAGCACCACATTGGCAAAAAATAAACATCTATGAATGAAATAAAAACCATAACTGCTCACCTTCTGCGCCTTCCGAAAGGGTAAAGAAACCAGACATCTTCTAAAGCCCTTTCTAACTCTCACACACATTACAGTAACATCAAGGTAAATTTCTCATGTGGAAATTACAGTTGATATGCATTATCAGCTACAACACTGTCCCTACGTACCCCCCAAAATACTTACTGGCTGGGACAATGAATTCCCCATGTAACTCATAGGTCATAAGAGGTTCTGGAAGACTCCTGTATGAAAAAGATAGTTCAGAATTAGCAAACAAATCCAAACAGTCCACACTCTGCATGTTTGTTTTTTTTTTTAAATAAACGTATATTAAAATGTGTGTGCATTTCTTAGTTAATGTGTGAAACTTCCCTAGGGAAAACTTTACATATCAAAAAGATACATAAATCAAGTCCTTACTTTATTGTTATCTGCACCAGGCACTATCAAAGCACAGTCACGATTCCCATCAGATCTGAGCATACAGTACTTTATATTTAATCTTGGAAAGTACCTTTACAAACATCTGACTTTATGTATACAACTTTTTTCCCCCCACTGATAGCATGTTGTTTTGAAAATCATCTCTAGGATAATAATTGAAGATGTCACAGAAATAGCAGAAGATACTAAATAAACTAAAAGAAAAATTCTCTTCTCTTACATACCTATTAAAAAGACAAGACCCATTTTTTGCTTATATGTAACAGTAAGAGACACAAAACAACTGTTGACAGCGTTAGACATACACATTTTCATTTTCTACAAAACAGATTGCATAAATGCTACAGTCAGTCAAACTTCATGCATATCTGAAATTCTAAAACACCAGATCTCCCAACTTTACAAACACTGAAACAATGATCAATCTGTACAGCTGTTCTGTAAGCAATCTGGCAGTGCGTTAGGAAATAAAAAAAAAAAGATTTAATCACGTAACCCAGAAATTCCTTTTCAAATGCCCCTCCCTTAAGAAACTTTAAACATAAACAAAAGCCAAGAAAAATGTCAGGGATAAAGTCTTTTCATACTGACAAAGGGGTCCATTCAAAAAGCTATCACACTCCGAAATGTTAATGGATCAATAACAGAAACTTCAAAATACAGAAAGCAAAAACTCATGGCACTATGGGAAGAAATGTACAAATTTATAACCATGGCTGGAAACTTAAAAATTGACAGAACAAGGAAACAGATCATCAGTTAGGAGACAGCATGTCTGGACAGACGAAGAGCAACTTCACCTAACTGGTGTGTTCATCACCTAAATGAGATTCCATCCAAAACAGCCGAATAGTCACTCTTTCCCAGGGCTCATGGAACATTTATCAAGGTAATACATATTCTGGGCTATGAAGCAAAGTTGAATAAATTTTTTAAAGATCCAGGGTAGTTCTCTGATTAAAATTAAATTTGAATTAACAATAATAGTAAGGTAGCTGGAAAACACCATTGTCCATTTCAGCTAAATTAGTGGCATTTGTGATCATAAAAATGTTCATACTGTTAACAGAACGCTATCTGGAAAGCTCCCCAAAAAGGGTAAGTAGGAACTGTTTTGAACTTAACGAAAATACAACATATCAGAATTTGAGGAATGTTCATGAAGCAGCATTAAAAAAAAGGAAAAGGCTTTAAAAGTGTAACTTCTCTTCCCACCTTAAAGAGCCAAGAGGAATAAGACAGTAATATGAACCAAAACAAGCAGAGGAGGAAAAAAAAAAAAAATGAGAATAGATGCAATAAAATGTGAGGATAGAGGAAATAATGCAAAATTGGTTCTTTGAAAAAACTAAAATTGCCAAATCTAGCCAAATTAATTAAGAGAAAAATTATTAAAAGTGTCAGGAATAACAGGGGTAATGGCATAATCATTGCAGGTTCGAAAAGTATTAATAAGAAAACAGGAGTAAGAACAGTCACAGGTCCATAAATATTAACTGTAATGAACAAAACTCAAAAGAAACAAACTATAAAAGCTCACTTCAGGAAAAAACTGGTAACCTGTGCAGTCCCACCTTTATGAAAGACACTGAATTTGTAGTTAAAAATCTCCCCAGTAAGAAAATCAGATGTGATATGACTTCACCAGTGTAATCTACCAAGCAATGAATGGATAGTAATACCAAGTTGATACAATTCTCCCAGAAATGATGAGGGAATAAGCCCAACTAATTCTTTGAGGCCATATTACCCTAGCACCAAAATTAAAGACTGAAACAAGAAAAGTACTAATCAACAGTACTCCTGGGCATGGATGCAAGTATCCTAAATAAAGACAAATAACAGGATAATACACATTGTGACCAATTTGAGTTTTTAAAAGAAATGCAAAATTGGCTTAATTTTTTTTTTTAATTCGGTGTATTTAATACATTTGTAGTGGGGAAAAATACAGGATGATCATCATCTCAATAGAAAATTCAGAAAAAAAGATAAGTTCTTCCCACAAATGTCTTAGAACAACTAGTCACTGATACACAAACATGCATCTGGGTCCACACCCAGTATCTTATGTAATAATTAACTGAAAACCAATCTCAGATAGATCTGAGTTAAAACCTAAAATTATGAAACTCCTAGAAGAAACTATGAAATAAACCCCTCTGAGTCTCTGAACTAAGCAAAGATTTCTTCACACATCACCAAAGAACAATCATTAAAAGAAAAACTAACTGCTTTTGGGGGGGGGGGACAACTATAAAGAGCATGAATAGAAAGCCACAGCATAAAGAAAATATTTGCAAAGCATCTATGTGAGAAGAGACTTACATTCAAAATAAATGAAGCTTTATCAAAGCACAGTACCAACCCAACTGTAACTGCATGCAAGACCTACCTAGAAATTTCACCCAGAAGATACACTAATGACAAACAAGGACAGAAAGTGACGTTTAACTGACCACGGCAGAGGTACACCTTAAAAGTACAATGAAATATTCCATTCACCATTTCAAAGGCTAAAATTAGGAAGACTAAGTTATCAGGAGTAGGCAGAAATGTAGAGGAATCACCACTCTGCTACAATGCTGGGGGGGATGAAAAGAAATAAAAACACTTCAGAAAAGTCCATCGGTTTCTCAAACAACATGTCAAGCATACACTGCCCACAGGACACAGACACTCCATTTGTAGGATTTACCCAGGAGAAGCAGAAGCCTGGGTCCACTCAAATGGTGCACAAAGATTTTTAGTAATTTTATTTAGTGACCAGAAGCTACAAACAACTCAAATGTCCATCAAGAGGTAAGTGGAGAAGTTAAAATTGTGACAATACAATGCAACACTCGCTAGTAACAAGTTAGAACCAGTAGTATATGCCACATGAATGAACCTCAAACCATGCTCAATGGTAGAACCAAGAACAGCCTAAATGCCCATCAATGAGTGAGTGGGTAAAGAAAATGTGGTGCGAACAAACACACACAACGATGCACACACACACAAAATGAAAAACTATTCAGTTGGTTTTTTGTTTCTTTGAAAAAGATGAAATCTTGCCATCTGCCACATGGATGGAGACTGAACCAAGTGAAATATGTCAATAGAGACCGATAAAGACATTAACACAATTTCACTGGTGTGCCCTACAGAAAGTAATGAAGCAAAGGAACAAACACACTCTAGACACAGAGAACAGACTGGTGTACAGCAGAGAGGGAGGCGGGGCTGAGTAAAAATGGCAAAGGGGGGTAGACTGGGTAGTGATGGATGGAAACGAGATTCTGGTGGTAATAGCGATGAAGTATGTATGGATAGATGTCCGAGTATTCTGTACCTTGATTACCAATGCTGCCTTTAATAAACTGATTTATATAAAAGAACCCAGATGATTTAAAAATTTTGTGCATAATTACAGGAAATGCAAAAATAATATCATAGGAAGCATAAGGAATCTGTGAGGGTGAGGGTACTCACTTTTGGCTACGCTGATGTCTTCACAAGTGTATACATATGTCAAACAAAGGCACTCTATAAATATATGCGATCTATTGTGCATCAATTAAACAGCGAAGCAAATAGATGGAAAACCTATGTAGAGGTAAACTGCTACATGCAATGTAGGATCCTGTGGTGCACACGCACAGACCCGTGAATGGTAACCAGACACGTTCCCTAAATCTTAGAGCATTAGGGAAGAAAAGCGGCAGCCTTTTTTCCTCGCCACTCGCCCCCGCCCTGCCATCCCTTCACTCTCATTTAAAGAGCAAAATGCAATCAATTACACCACAGCCTAAGTAAAGCGAGAGAAGGGGCCGTGAGAAGAGTAAACCTGTGGGGTTTTGTTTCATGCTCTGCACAAACAGCAAGCAGCAAAAAAGGCAAATGGTGGGCTGGCAAAAATTAAAGAGTGTTGAAAAGAAAAGGGGAAATGAGGCTTCAGAAAGCCACAGAGAGCATTTCTTTTCCAATAAAAATGAATTTGTATCTAAATACCTTCCTCAAGCTACTTATATCGTTGCCATATGTCTAGCTGAGCAGTGCAGCAAAAGCAGTAAGTATTAAATAGCTCTAAGGTAGGGAAGCAGCAGTAACAATGGCAACTCCCCATACACAATTTACTGACCTGAGCCACTGCCCCTGTCCATTTCCCACCCCTCCTGACTGTGAGTCACATCTCCTTTGCCATCCTCTGTGCTAAGAGTTTGGGGTTGTAAACCGTAATAGTTACTTAACCTGGCATTTTCTTCCCCAGAAGTCCCATTCCAATTTCCGGAGTTTAAAAATTCCCTCCAGGTAAAATCATTTTACTTCAAACATCACAAAACTACTCATTTGTCCATTCACAATGGGAAACTGCTATAATGAACACATTGCTGGAAATCAAACGTATGGTCTGATCCAAACAGACAGGAAACCTGGTAATTCAGGCATGTTCGACACTGAATGTTGGGGGGAAATTGCCATAAGGCGGTAGGAGAAAAAAAGCAAGATGCAATGTCTGTGTGCATACCCTTCTTCCCAAGGTTCTGCTTCTTGCTTTAGTTTTGCTTTTGGGGGGTGGGGGGCGCCAGGGGTTGGCAATATCTCCCTCCAACAAAGTAGCCAGCTTACTTGCAGTGAGAATTCAAGAGCATTTTTTAAAAGATTTATTTATTTATGCACACAGAACTGGGTACAGGCCAGAGGTGCAGGAGTAGTGAGAGGATTCACCAGAGACAGAGTGGGGGCAGAACAGGCAGATCAACGAAGTACACTGCTGAGGGGAGCAGCAGGCGGGTCAGGAGAGGTCTACTGTGCCATGTGGGTCACCTCCATGGTGGAGGTCGAACTCCTGCTGAAGTGGCTTTAGCTTCTCACTGCTGTGCTTTAACCTGCTATGCTGCCAGGGAGGGCCCAAGAGCATTGGTTTTTGGTTTTTTGTTTTTGGTGAGAAAAGCCATAGTCAACTCCATGGCCTGAAGCCAAGAGAGACAGAGCTGGGATTCGAATCCAGGACACAGGCTGCAGTGACCATATTCTCAGCCACTGTGCTGACACAAAGCATTTGCCTTGACTATAAACTTGTAGCCAAAATGAAAAGAACTAAACAGTTTTCTCTCATTTTAGGGCATCAGCAGAGAAAGTGTCAACTATGTCTTAATTATGGCATTTTCAGTTGCTAAAAATATAATCAGTGGAAAAGAACAGCAGCTTCAAGTTCAAATCTCCCAAGGCATCTGCCATTTGACGAGAAGCCCTTTATCACATTCAAGCAGAATGTGGATGTTGTTCGGGACGAAGCTATAAAAGTAATAGCATCTCCTAGTGTTCTACAGGCAATGTTGGCTTCTAAGTGGCATTCAAGAGGATGACGCAAGGCGATGCGTGATAAGGGCCAAGGAGGCGACATGGGACCAGGGACTATAAGCAATTAGCTTCAGAAAGTATTGGAAACCAAAAAGAAATTATATGCACTAAATTAAAAAAAAAAAATCCTCTGATTCACAAACTAATTCCCCTCAGACAAAAAGAACCAAGTGTAATGAAAGGTATTTGGGGGCAGAAGGGGCGCGGAGGTAATTTACTGCAAAAGCACTGGACTGTGGCCCTTCGTTTCCCATAACTGAGTCACTCTTCGATCTCTCCAGTCACACCCAACCGGAGTTCCCCAAAGTGTGCGCTGGGCTTCAGCCCCTCCAAGGTGGCAGCATTCCGGCAGGGCAGGTTAACCTGGAGGCCCGTTACAGCGCTGCACCCCTCACCCATCATCCGTTCATCATCTTGCAGGGAGGCCATCTCTGCCACAGTGGACATTTGCGGCCAGCCCTGCCCTGCCCTGCCCCGGGCCCCCAGATGCCAACAGCACCCTCTCCAGCTACCTCAGCCATGCAAGACTCAGTCCCCAGCAGAGCTACAGCAGAACTACAGCTGTGAGCTTTTCTCCCATTGTTTCACTCCTTTTTTCACTCTCTATAAGTGTGTTTTTCATCTAACCTTGAGCACTTTATCATTAAATCCCTTTCTTTTTTAAAGAAAGGCTAATGACTCAGACATACTGAGCTATTTACTTACTCAAGTTCTAAACAGTTCCTGCAATAAATGCAAAACTTAAGTTCCTCTTAAAACCTCACCCAGTAAACATCTCTCCAACCACTGAGCATTTATACGTGTTACCATTATAAGCCTGTAAGTTCAAGGGGCTAAAGTTTAAGGCAAACATATCTTTATTTTATCCTAAAACATAAAAGGATTTAGTGACTTCAATAATAGCACCCTTTCTGGCTGTTTCTTAGCATTTAATGCCTAAAACATCTACACCAGACGATCACTTCGAAATCCAAGTCTATTCCCATTCTGTTCTGTTGCAATTTACTTCACAACAGGTGATGTTCACCCTGTAATCACCTCACATCCAAGAATATACTTCCTGAATGGCTCCTCTTGGATAAAAGTTTAACTGGTGACAGTTTAGGTCTACTGTGTGTCTGACATTCAAATGTCAGCTCCTCTGTTACTGAGGAGAGCTCACCTCAAGTACTGCTTCAGGGCGCTTGTTATTGTTTTCACTTCCCAGTCGATGGAATTCTCCAGGTCCACCTCATTGCATGTCTTTACATCTAGAGCAAGAGACAAAGGAACAGCAGTTAAGACCTTGCCTCTTGCCTGGCTCACAAAACTTCCATTTTTCAATGGCCAAACCACAAAGAATTCATTCTGTGGTTTCTTGTGAAAACATTCTATATACCATTTCTTGTAACAGTATGTATCACGTTCTACCATTAGCTTTTTCTAGCACTTCCAAAAATCTGGAATGGAGAGAATTAAGTAGAAGGGTTGGGCTGAGCAGAGGCAGTTGGGATACGGCACAGCATTTCAACATTCCCGACTGCACCCCATAAGCAGAAGTCATCGTGATTCTGAGGAAAGGTGCCATCCTGGTCTGTGTGGTGTCTGTGGCCACTGCTCGATGTCCTGACAGGGAACAGTCCGTGAAAGGCAACACGGCAGGAAGAGAGCTAAGTGCGGCCCAACATTTCTAAGACTCGTACTCATCATATTATCTTTCTGAAAATGAATACGAGCCACCGCATTGGAATCACGATGATGCAAACCTAAAAAGCCAATGATATGGACGCTCCCACGTTAACTGCAATACACACCTGTCCAGGAAACATGTACTGGAAGCCTCTGTGGAGTACTCCCAACACCCCTTCTAGACTAAGCTAGAATTCTTTGCAAAGTGTGGTGATAAGGTTATTTATGCAAAATGCCCTTTCACTTAGCTAGTAAGTTCTAAAGACTCATGTGGCTGAGGAGGGAAGAGACACAGTAAACGCTAGCATGGAAAATGTCCTCCTGAGGCTGGGCCACCACACGGGGCTGTGGCAGAGGCCGGGTGTAGTGTAGAGTTACCAAGCTGGGCTTAAATGACCCCCAGCCAGCCCCCAATCCTGACTGCAGGTCAGTTCCACAGCTAATACAATTTCACATCTTCATCTGCAGGACTGAGAGAGAATATAAATAAATGCTCTTCCAGAACTACTGAGAGCACAGCACATCAAGAATGTCTACAGAATTCAGAAATTACTCATGAGCAGGAATTACCATGCTGAGTGGCTAGAGGTGGAGACACCTATGTGAGCATGGTCGAGGGTTCCTGTGCAAGTCGGCAAACCATCAGCTCAACCTTGCCAAGTTCCTGTGCTCCCATCACGTACGGGAAAAATAGGTTCTTACAGAAACACCAGATCTCCCTCACTCCAGAATGCTTCAAGTAAGACCAAAAAGTAAAAAAACCTAGCTGCTTGGGGCATTGTCCTCCCTTACACTGTACTCATCCACAGAGGCAAGGAAACATCTTGCTAGTATTCCCTCTCGAACGGCATGAAAAAGAACAACCTGTCAAAACAGGGCCAGCACATTAAGTCCTGGAGGCCACTTCCAAAGTTTTAGGCTTGAGCATGAGAAAGGCTGGACGACAACTCAATGTTCTCCTCAAAGTTTGGGGGAACCAAACGGTGAAACAGGAAGTGATGGTTATCTCACAGCCATGACATCATACACATGAAGTCAATTAATCAAAAGTCTGGAAGCTTCTGAAAGCACTTCAACAGTTCTTGATTACAGCAACTGACAGAAATGTGCAATAAACTACAACAATGGCAATTGACACTGATTACATTTTGATCAGTTCCTACAATTCAGAACTCATTTGTTACTGAGCTTGTCAGACAAGCCACAGATACATTCAAGAAATCAAATTAAGCACCCTGATTAAAGGTGCAATCCTTTATAACTAGAACTAAATAATTCTGTTCTAAAGGCTTTGCCAACCAATTACTTCAGTAACTGAATATTCTCTCTCTCATTAAATCAATTATTTAAATCTCATTTTAACATACAAGTCAGATAACATTTTCAATCAACTTGCTACCAGAAAATCACCATTTTATAATCCAAGAGGCTTCTAAAGGAAATCTTTTATTTTCAAGTTTCTACCAACTTATCATTCCATATTTTGAGAACTATACTCTCTTCTGTGGAAAAATTTTATTGATCTAGGCAATAAAATGTAGCTGTCACACAGAAACTAATGACTAAATAGTGTCTAAGATACCAATCCTCTATTAAATTTTCACTATTTTCAAGTAATAATCATGCCTACATGTTCTTTACAATCGGTAGGTGCATTGGCCACCAGGAAACTTGTTATAACTTATTTGGGATTCAAACATTAAAAATTCATTGTCATGTTTTATCAGAATATAGTTCTACCGCAAACACTAAAAACTTTGCTTCTTTTCTGACCAAAAGACAACACTAAAGAGATTAGTTATAAGTCTAAATAAACAAGCAAAGTAGTAAGCCATTGTCTTACTAGAGGTTAATGTTTCGTAATTATACAACCAATGGCCATTTGTTTAAATACTGGAAACACTTAGCCTGACCTAAATACAACATGTTTGTCTTCTGCTAGGCACCATCCGTTTTTAAGTACCTGAAGCAGTACAATGATTGAATGAGCTTTCCAAATAGTTTATAGTCCAAAATCAGTATTAGCGGCATTGGTTAAAAGTTGTCCTACTAACTAAATAAGGTTAATATTTTTAAAGTAAAACTCTTCTGAATTAGTTCTAGGTGTTATTTTCTATAATTCTATCTCCAAAAATAAAGGGAATCATCTAGTCTTTTCTGCACATTAGATTTTGAGATAGCCACTGACTTCACCAGCCTGTACAGCAACCATCACATCATCTCACAGCTCCCCTCCCCTGCTCTGATGTTTTCATTCCCCTGCGGGGAAGAAGGAAGAATCCATGACAAGTCTAATTCCCATGAGTTCTAATCTTCCAATAGCTACTGTAATTATCTGCTATGTTCTCAACCACTGACTACGGAACCCCGACTCACCCTAGGGCACCTCACTGGATGCGTTCTTCCTGCCTTCTCCAACTACTCCAAATTTTGTTTCTGTTTTTAAAATCATGTTTTTTTGTTTTTTTTTTTTTTAACTTCAACTTCACAGCATATGTCTTCAGTTAGAGCAAAGGGGGATGGAAAGGAAAATGACTTGGAAAGGAAGCAGTCATTCAGTTGGGCATTTTCTTTGGGAAACTTAAGTTTGGTACAGGGAAAGGCTAGAAGGTTCCTGGCAACGCAGACGACTGCTGCTTCTGCTCTCAAATGTTAGACAAATAAGAACGCTAAGAACTCCCATGCCCACAGAGAGCAAGGCCGTCTCCACTCTTTTCCTGACCTAGAAGGCAAGTGACTCGTCCACTGAAAGAACTTTCTACCGTCAGCTACCATTAATACTTCATGTGCAGCACAGAAGAGACAAGGGATAGAGGGGAGGGAAGAAGACTAGAAACAGTTTTCTCTGTTTTAATGGTGAAGGAGGGAACTTAAAAAACAACAAGAAAACAAGCAAGATCTGTTCACCCACCTTTCCTAGAATTGTCCCAAAGTTTTACATCTGCCCATCTAAAGGATACTTGAAGTATTTTTAATACAAAAATATTTTAGACAAAAAGGAAAAAAGGGCAAGAGAAAATTCCTGTAGTAAATAGCGAGCTCTCAAGAACCCAGTAAATGGAACTTATCAACAAATACAAAATGACTTGCAATTTTTTTCTCATATACTTAAAAATTAGATTTTTCATTTCTACAAAAATAATGATGTTACAAACAAAATAAACTCTGAAAAATCAAATTTGACAAAGGCATCATTTACAGGCACAGTAAATTAAAAATAACTGCCTGTACCACAAATGGACAAAATTAACTAACAGGGAGAGGAGGACAGTGATTTAAAAGAGCAAAGTTTAAAATTTAGCAGACTCACCCAACTTTTCCCTATTAAGGTAAGTGATTTTAAACATTACAGAGAGTTGTGGGGAAAGTCAGAGAAGAAAAATATTCACAAACAATATATACCCAGCAAGTCAGAAACTCTTAAAATTCTTTTTTTTTTTTTATAAAGAGGTAGAGATCATTTATAGGACAAAGTAAAGAAGTATCATAAGGAAATCCTTCATTTCCTTATGAGTGGATCTATATTGCTAACAGTTAGGATTTGAGTTGGTGGCACTAACAAAAAGATGATCCTAATGCTAAAAAATCCAAAGTTGTGATCGACAATCTTCAATTCGTACTAACAATTAGTTCTAGGCTAAGTGATTTACCATGTGGAGTGCCCTAAAGTGAATTACTTGTTAAGGAAATAACCAGTCAGTATGTCAACTCTCGAGCTTCCTTTCTTTGCTGAAAGGTATTACTGGAAACAGCATTTCCTCTACCAGCTACTGGAAAGGGGCTGTGTCACGCTTGTGTCCTAGACTTCCCTGTCCCGAGCCTCGTGGAAAGCAGAAAAGTGTTTTTCAGGTCACAGATTTTTGAGGGGCAAGAGATTACAAAACACCCTCAAGTGAAGGGCTTTCTTGAGACCTTTCCCGAATGCAGAGGTCTGACGTGGCCACCTGAGTTCAGCAGCACAGTGTGTGGGGGGTTTTGGGAGACGAAGAACACATTTCCAGGCAGCCTAGCCCTTCAGGGTGACCGCAGAGAGATCTGTGTTTAAACTTCTCGTGAACATGAACCAGAAGACAATCAAAATGCTAGAATTCTTAAGACCAATTTGCTGCCAAAGTGGGTCTTTCAGTCCAAATCTCCCTTTCTGATACCGACAAGTCTTCCAGCTCCCATCATTATAACACCATCTTGGAAATGAGAGAAGTGTTTCTAATTTTAAAATTAACTAAAAGCAGATGCTGTAGCCCCATTAAACTCTTCCAGCTGCTACTGAACCCCTGGCAACCTGAGTCTATTTAATTTGGAGACCACTCATGGTAAAAAGGAAAATCTGACTGCCAAAGCTGCACACCCAAGTTAAACCAGAGAGGCAGAAAATGAAAACAGCTCTTGAAAGCAAATGTACTCTAACAAGGCCCTCCAACTGATGACGGGCAATTTTTCCTGTGGTTAATAGCTAAAAAAAGGTTGCTGCTTATTAAATCCTTAATTCAAATACAGCCAAACAAGCAATCCTCTCCGTAACAAGTCAGCTGATTTTATCCATCTTGGTCTGTGCTGCCTAAAAGTAAGTCTTTGCAACAATGCCTTAAAATGCAGACAGGTTTCCAAGCATTGACAGCACACCTGAGGGCTTTGTTAATATTGATTAATTAAAGTGAGAGAGATATCAAATAAATTAATATTTAGCAAGGTCATAATGACAGATTGCTTTGACACACAGGCCCCCAAGCCTGACGAGTTTTCATCACTCCTCAAGAGGAAGCCTGCTTTGGGGTAGGGAGAGAAGTGGGGTGTCTTACAGGTGGCACTCAACTGACAGCAGCAGGGAATGTAAAAGCGCTTTGTCATTCACATCATGTCTGGGGTAATGAAATGAATTCACTTGCTGGCTTCCTCTCGTTGCGATGCCAAAGAACACTGTGTTATCATCACAGATGGAGCAGGCCTGGTTCTGGAGGAAAGCCTGGTCCAAGCTACAAAAAAGCCACTGTGAATACCAATGAATCCCTGAGAATCAGACCCTTGCTGTCAAATGACAGTTGGGGAAGCTCCCTAAAACTGAGCAAGTCCCAGTGGTCTTGTCCAACCAAATGTACGGGCAAGACTCTGAACGGCCAATCTGGAAGCCGCACAAATCCAGAGGCCGGGTTGCCTCTTTCCCGGGAGAGGCACTCACAAGCTGCACTGTCTTGCTCTCAGTGCTTCAGAAGGAAAGAGCGAGTGGATGAGCTGTGCCAATGTAAACACTAGTCTACTTCTCTCTGTCTCTCTCTGCTCAGGAGAAAACTCATCTAGGCAGTAGGATAAAAAGATGGATTCCCTAGTAGGCTGTATGTGAGTAAAAAATATTAAAGTCAACCAACATCAACAAACATTGCATGAAAAATGATTAGAAAAGAGGCATACCCATCAACATACTCAGAAGTCTCTGGACCTTTGAACTCACCCCCACAACTCGGTACAATCCTTGGTCATTTATACCTATTGGAAGAGATGAAATGTTAGCAAAATACAAAATCTTATTTTAAAAGCTGTCAACCAACAGTTGCATTCCGGATTGTTACTGACATTAGCAGCCTTCCTGTTGACTACAAAAATAACATTTGACAAAAGCAAGTGTTTACCAACTTGTTTTAGCAGCTTGGTATTCATGAGTTATGGCTGGAAAATAATCTCCCAAAACAACATTGCACGTGGACAAAATGTAATGAGCCGATACTAGTGGAAGAAGTCAGATAAGTGGCCCCCACATACACAACACCGTTTGTAGAGAGCTATCATCAACTTCCCATTTGTTAAGTTTACTTATTTTGACAGTTTTCATTTTAAAGAAAATAATATGGTGATTAGTTATCAAACAGAAAGATCATCTGGATGATTCTTGAAGACCGCGGAAATGCATTCAAAACTAAGACGGAACTGTTTTGTTTGTTGTTATTTTTACAAACTTTCCCAAGCATTGTCCAGTGAGGACCAACCAAATGCAATAAAATGTGTGTCCAATCACCGTGTGCTCTCCCTGCAGAGACCCTCAACAACATGTCCCTGAGCATAACAGGCAAGAGAGAAGGCAAAAAAATGTACTGTTAAACCTAATTTATAGGTTGGGCACAATGGCCTTGTTCGGATTCCAATCTGAAGAGAACTACCTCACCAGAGGGAAGCGATCAGGAAAGTGAGTGGCACTTGACTTAAGAGAATGTCTGCAGGTGTGCAAGCAAGCTAGCTTCGGCTCCATGGAAGGGAGAGGAAGCAACAGAAGTGCAAGGAAATACTGGGAACTGCTGAGGCCAAGTAAGAAGAGCAATCACATGACTACTCTCCGCCCCTCTTATCCTTGGAACTTTCAGGCTAAAATAAGGACTTAAGAAAAAAATGCGGCTTCCTATCTTCATTTCTCAAAAGAGTTGCAGCTTTTCTGCCTGTGTTTATTTTCTGCACGACAAATGTTAAAGCTAACAAGAACATGGCTGGCTGACAAGGAGATGTCTTATCCCCAAAGTTTCCAAAACAAACACAATACCACCAAGAGCCATGGGATATGCCTAGAGCGAGCTTACTTTCTCTTTGATTCCCTGCGTAGGGCGGTGGACAGGCGCACCAGACAGGGGCTCAAGGCCTGAATTCAGGTGACAGCGCTGGCCTTCCTGGCTCCCAGACTCTGGGCTGGGCAGGAAACCTGTGTCTGAGACCCACACCAGCAGCCCTGAGCCGGGGTGGGAGGGGAGGGAAGGAGAGGCCCGTCGCAGGAGACACAAGTGCCTACTAGCCCTTGCAAAAGAGCAGCTCTTTCCCTTCCTTTTCTCCTTTTGCATTCTATCAATTTGTCTCTGCTCTTTTTAAGCTTCTCCATTTGCTTCTCTGTCCTGAAGATCCTCCCAAACTTTGCACTTTGGAGCCTTAACCCCCAGAAAGATTGTGACTTGCATGGAAATGAGGTCATGAAAAGAGGCAGTGAAGGGCCCTCCCTGGTGGCACAATAGGTTAAAGCACAACACTGTGAAGCTAGCTGCAACTGCTTCCGCATGAGTTGGATCCCTGGCCAGGGAGCTGACCTATATGGCGCTCAGACGTCTCCTGACCTGCCCACTGCTCCCCTCAGCAGTGTTACTTTGTCAATCTGCCTGTTCTGCTCCCTGCTCTGTCTCTGGTGAATCCTCTCACCACCCTACACCCAGTTCTGAATGCATCTATAAATAAATCTTGGAAAAAAAAAAAAAAAAGAGGCAACTAAGTTAAAATGATGTCATTAGGGTCGTACTCCAGTCTGACAAGGACCATTTTAAGAAGGGATCAGGATACAGACCTGGCAACCCTGTGCAGACGGGGACAGACAGCCACCGAGCAGCAGTGAGAGTCCTCAGAAAAGCCAACACCCTGACTGCAGACGTCCAGCACTGTTACAGTTACAGGGAAGTAACCTGCTGCTGTTAAGCCACCCTGCCGGTGGTGCCCAGCTCTCACAGTGATCTCGGCAGAGCTCCAAAAGCCAGAAGCCAAAGGCCAGCCCTCTAGTCTATCCGTGTCCGCCTAGAATGTGAAAGAAGTGAAGCAGCAGGGCGCAATGTCCAAGGGGGAGCCCCACTGGCCATGAGAGAGCGGGGCAGCGTGGGCAGCAGGGGAAAGGGAACGAAGCTCCGAGTCTGAGCCCGGGTCTGACAGGAGCAAAGACCAGCTGTCCTCGTCTTCTCCTGGAGGCCACAGGCCACATGCAAGGCATGTAAAATACTGTATACTAAAAAAAAAAAGGTGTTTTTTTTTTTTTCAGTACTATTCAGGAAACCTGAAATAATCTGACCTTGGTGCCAGAAGCCAAAAGAACAAGACAGTCTGCAGCCAAACAAACCCGCCTCTATGAAAAGCGCCTGACATACAAAATATATGGAGAAATGCAATAGGAACGTTTCTCCAGCAATAATCATCACTCTGTGCTGGTAATTACGATCAGATAATTGATCAAGTTCAAATTCATCAACCTGCGAGAAGTGGAGTTAATTGCTAATGCATAATGGAAGGGGCAGAGGGGAATCGATGCTGCTCAACACAGCTCTCACTTTTTTGAAAAATGAAATTTAAATACACTCGGAACAAAGGAGCTCAGAAGTAACACAGGACACATATACTTGTGGGCCAGGCAGAGCTTTGTTTCTTGTTTCATTGTTCAGAAAGGCTCTGGAGTAAGAAAACTGGAACATACTTTAATACTTATGAACATGCACATCATACAGAAGCTACCAGGTAAGTATGTTTCAAGAAGACCAATGAATCAAATGCCAGTGCAGTGGGTGGGTTGACCATATTCCCTCCAGTTTCTCTTCCACTGCACTCCTCTTTCAGCCTGCAGGATCACTGTTCCTAATCACCGTGTATGAGGATTATGACATTTCTCTGACTTCCTCCCTACTCCTTTCCTAACTCAACAGGCCAATGTCTCCATTTTATTCAAACCTCCAACTGATCTCTACTACTCATCAACATGCGTGAATGTTGCACACATACACTCACCAAGGTTTCCCTGCAGGAAACACATGCGACGACAATCCATTCTTAGTATCACTTTTTCTTCTTTTCTTACTTTTCAAACCACTTTGACTTTCTAAGGTCTCCACAAGCCCATTGAAGAGTAAGCCATCAGGCCCTCCCTGGTGGCACAGCGGGTTAAAGCATGGCACAAAGAAGCTTAAGCCACTTCCGCATGAATTCAATCCCTGCCTGCCCTGGAGGAGACCACATGGCGAGGCAGACCTCTCCTGACCCGCCGATGCTCCCCTCAGCAGTGTACTTCATGGATCTGCCTGTTTTGCTCCCCACTCTGTCTCTGGTGAATCCTCTCACCCTCTGCATCTCTGGCCTGTACCCTAGTTCTGTACGAATAAATAAATCTTTAAAAAAAAAAAAAGTAAGCCATCAGGTCAAGTCCACACACCACAGCTGAACAAGCATTTAGGCATGAACACTGATATCACCATGGGCCCCCCACACATACCCACCACCACAGTCCCTTCAGCCACAGCAGACCCCAGACCATCACCCACAAATGACCAGATTCCCTCCATGCTCTGTGACCTCCCTCAGGCGAAGTCTGCTCTGATGGGACTGTTTGTGCCTCTTCTCTTACAGACCACTCTGCTGATAAATACTGATTCACTAAATATGTGCCAGTTGTTATTCAGCTGTCCTAGATTCAACACTGAGCAAAATGAAGCCCCATCCAGAACTTCAAAACCAATCAAACCCCACCTTTTCTGACACCAGCCCACATTAATATTCCATTGTTCTGAAAGTGACTCATAATTAATTCCTTTTAACACTTGATTACATTTTCAAGGCCCACATCCCTTATTTACAATTCTCAAATACAAAAATTGTAATGCTTGACCTAACATCAAGTTATTTTAAATCTTTATTGTTCCCTATTCAGTATGAATATTCATATTTTAATATATTAAAAATATTTTCCACAAACCTATGTAGAGTGGGTCTCAAATACCATTAAACAAAACAAAAAACATCAACAAAAAACCCACTTCATCCTGAAACACAGACAATCTCCAATTTTCAGATTGGGTTGTGGACCTGTGTTTGATCTTCTCTCCTCAAACAGAGAGAGAGATGCTGGGAAACACACAGGTCAACTTTGGCTTTTGTTCTTTGCTTTCGACGCTTTCACTGGCCCTCGCCTACAAAACCTGGGTGCAGAGTATGGCTAGTTTGCTCTGGCTTGAAATTAATTTAGAACCATACGCAGGTTGGACTTGGGCCAACATAAGACATATGAGAAGCTGTAAAGTTAAAATATACAAGTTTAAAAAAAATTATTTAATCAGCCTCTTTGGAAATTAGCGAATCCTAAGCTTTAGCAACAGATGCATATACAATCCAATCATTAAAACCTTTTCAGATATCAAGACTCACTGACAGACATAACTAGATTTTCCTTTTTTTTTTTTTAAAGATTTATTTAGGCATACAGGACTGAGGTACAGGCCAGAGGTGCAGAGGCAGTGAGAAGATGCTCCAGTGACTGAGTGGGGAGCAGAACAGGCCGACTGACGAGGTACACTGCTGAGGGAGCAGCGGGCAGGTCAGGACAGGTCTGCTGCGCCATGTGGGTCACCTCTGGAGTGGGGATTGAACTCGTACTGAAGTGTCTGTGGCCAGCTTGCAGTGCTGCATCCTAACCCGCTGCGCCATGGGGGAGGGCCTGGATTTTCTGACTTTAAAGCAGAAGCATGTAATCCGGTCGAAGTGTTAGGCACAGAGAACTTTTTTTTTTTTTAGTAAGTAATACCGGTTCTGCCCAGCAGGGAAGAGGCGGGAAGGGTCCGTCCAGTTCAGCGAGGAGCGGCTCCTGACCGCTGGCCTGGGCACGGGGAGCAGGTGAGGTGTGAAGGGCCTGTCTCCCCCCGCGGCTCCGGGCTGGCACAGCACAGCACAGCGGACAGCTCCCGGGAGCAGCGGGCAAGGAGGGGAAGCAGTCA